CTTGGTCGTTTTTTTATTTGAAAATCGGTTTTATCATTAGGTGGATATTGCTTTGTAGATATACCCTGCAGCATTATAGTACTCCATTATCAAGGATCCTTTCCTTGTAGCTAGTCGACTTGTCATGTAGAAATCCATATCCATCTCACGAAGTATTGTCGTGCTGCAGGAAGGAAGCACCGCTCAAGAAATTTGACTAACAATGCCTGCAGCGTTAAATTGTTGTTATCGTTCTTTTGTTTTTTTTTTATTTCTATTAGCTGTCTTGAACTGAAGAATAATATTAGCGGAATTTCATGATCAGAAAAAACTGTTTCGGAAGGTGGGAGGCAAACATTTTCCGTTCTTAGTTACTGTTTTTTATCAAATCATCTTTTCCAGTTCTAACTGAACGTATAATTTACGTCTAATTTATCTCTCGAGATCTTACCTGTTTCATACATACTCTGTAAGGTATGCTGCAGTGGGGAATGAACCATTGTTGTCAACATACAATGGAACTTTTCTTCCAACAATATTTCCTGCCCTTCAGAATATCCAGTCAGCTCTCATAAAAGCCGGTGTGAGCAATCAGGTTAAGGTCACGATTCCTATCAACGCTGATGTCTACGACAGTGCTGGCTCAGACCTACCTTCTAATGGAGACTTTCGACCAGACACCAAGGATCTCATGTTGGAAATTGTCAAGTTCCTGAGCGACAACGGTGCTGCATTCACTGTCAATATATATCCCTTCATAAGCCTCTATAATGATGCCAATTTTCCAGCTGATTACGCCTTCTTCAATGGATACTCGAGTCCTATTAACGATAATGGAAGAATCTACAGCAATGTGTTTGATGCAAACCATGACACCCTTGTATGGGCGTTACAGAAAAACGGATTTGGAAACTTGTCCATAATTGTTGGAGAGATCGGTTGGCCTACAGATGGGGACCTGAATGCAAATGTACAGAATGCGCAACGGTTCAACCAAGGGTTTATGTCCCATATCAAGAATAACGCAGGGACTCCAATGAGAGCCGGCCCTGTGGACGCCTACTTATTTAGCCTCCTCGATGAAGATGCCAAGAGCATTCAGCCAGGTAACTTTGAACGCCATTGGGGGCTGTTTTACTGGGACGGAACACCGAAGTATCAGCTCAGTCTAGGCACTACAAGCTCGAATGGATTAGTAGCAGCAAGTGGCGTACAATATCTGGAAAAGAAATGGTGTGTCATGTCGCCCTCAGCGAGTCTTGATGATCCAGAAGTGGCGCTAAGCGTGAGCTATGCATGTTCAAATGCTGATTGCACCAGTCTCGGATATGGAACTTCATGTGGAGATTTGGATGCTCGCGGAAACATTTCGTATGCATTTAACAGTTACTATCAAATAAATAATCAGCTGGACACTGCCTGCAAGTTTCCAAACCTTTCGACTGTCGCCACGGGTGATCCATCTACTGGAAACTGCAAATTTAGGATCATGATCCGAGCATCTTCTTCGTCTAGTGAGAACGCCGGAGCTGGCTCTCTTGAAAAGCCTAGTTGTTTAGGAATGGTGTTTGTGTTTATGTTCCTGTATACAATTCTGTGATTTTTTTGGGAGGTATTTATTGTATATTATTGGTGTAATGAACTCGATTTGTCGAGCATTAATCAGTCAATACACAAAACAAATTGAAAAATAGACAGAAAATGACTAAAATGTCATGTGTTTACAGAGTCTAAATACCACCTACTACATACTTTCTGGTTTAGAATCCTCAAATTAGCCACCTAATCCTAATAACAATTTACAATGAATTAATAGATTAATAGATTAAATAGTGCCAGGACACACCAAGACATGTCTTATTTAGGAGAGATTCTCTTAGTCAGTAAGATTTAATTTAATGGTGTTACTGTCCAATAAATACTTATCACGTGTTTCAAATACCATAAATTTAATAGATGATTCACATGTGATAAATCATAAATTAGTGACAATGAAAAAACTTCTTGTTTTGTAGCCATAAACTGGTTCTTTAATTTGTACAGTAAGCGGGAAAATACGATCAGCGGGTGAATATAATAGGATGGTGCTATCCATACATTTCATCTTACTTTTCGTTACATTTTTTTTTTAATTTTCAGTCGTCAGATTGAATGTATCCAAAAAAATAAAAAAACAAAAATTAAGAAAGGATGTCTAGAAAGTAAAAATGATTGTGTTGATAGTACCACCATGTTTTAACACTCATATTCAAATGTATTTATTATTACTTAGTATTACGGTCTAGTGATATTCCTTTTCACTTGTAAGTGAGATGTCTTAAGTTCGTTTTGTGTTGAAAAACTTGCACTTTCTGAGTTTTTCTTTTTCGAATCGGTAAAATGCGGTTGGATTCAATTTCTTGGTTTCTAGTTTATTGTGAATGAAATTAATTAGTTTGTAGAGGAAATTTGTCAACTAATCTGTCGTTAATGGGCATCATTTGAGATTTCGCCCTCGGTCTCCGGAAACTTTGGACCCACCACCATGCTATATACTCTTAGACTTGTGCTCACGAACATTTATTCACCCACTTGAGCATAAATAGTAAGATATCGTACAACTTAATGATAGTTATGTATTAAAAGATAGCCTTAATCCGTTAAAAAAAAATATATCTCGCATAAATCCAAAATTACTTTGTTATCTCTACGATCAAACTCAAATTAGTAACTACAACATTTTAACATGCAATTTGATCATAAATGGTTTATTATCCATCAAACAAAATCAACCAATTATTAATAATGTTTGTATATCACGACAATATACACTTACTGGCTGACTTACATCTTTAGACTTTTCTAAACCAATTTGAACTCAAACATACGGCCAAATACACTTAAGCCATATTCTAAATATTAATGTTGTTTTAGGATTTGGAAGAGCTATGGATGTATTAGAAAGTACGGAAAGTCTGCATTTTAATTTTGTTCTGACAAATCAATCGATGTTTTAAAGAAATTTTGTGCTACTCATATGATGTTGATGAAGTGTTAAAAAGATTTGAAAGAAAAAAAAATCCCTTAGAAAGTATTAACTTTTTTGATCCGTGAGTTAATGTGTTTTACATATTGTGAGTGAATCAATTTCTTGCAAATTAGGAAAAGGTGTGGCTGGAAGCCAAGGAAATGATATCGTTCTGATGGAGAAGGAGAAGCTGATGAAGAAATACAGAAAGCAGAATATAAGATTTCAAAACACCAAAAGCGAAGCACTTCTGGACTGTCTACTTGGGTGAAACATGTCATCCTCTGCCTTGCCTTCCAAGTACAATTTACTTGGACCGTGACCGGCAACAGAGTTTGGAGATGCTCCGACTACTTTCTCTTCCTTGGGTGCTATCTGGTCTTATGTGCTCTTGGTTGGCTTCAACTGTTTCTCAGCGGACGCTACTATATCCAAAGCGTTATGAAGTGTGACCGGCGCTGGAGAGAACGCAGAGACTTGGAGGGTAGGCTTGCTGTTCTTAAGGGATCATCAAGGGTCCAGGACTTTGATGATGGACATCAGTGTCACATCGTCTCGGGAATTATGGCTCTGCTCTGTGTAGCCTCTTGCATTCTTGCCATGTTCATCCTTTTCTTGGAGGCGTTTTCGGGTAACCTTGACGATGTGTGCAGAGGAAACTGAAGAGTAACAGTCATGGAGGTTCATATTTCACTTTCAGTACATTTGGATGTAAAAGCTTAATTTCGACTAGTTTATTTACTTGTTATTGCATTTGTGTTGTAGTTTGAGTTTTGTTGCATCCAATCCAATTGTCACCCCTCCTTGTCCTGATATTGATTGCACCATTCTTGGATATGGGACTCAATACCGGCTCTGAGAATTTAGGGGCCCTAAATGAGCCTTCGAAGTTGAGCCCTAGAGTTCTTTGACCTTGATCCTTGTATTGATATATATAAGATCATCTTCTGCAATCAATTTTTGCTTCGGGAAATCTTGGTCCCTGGTGTTTCGGTTTTTGTTAGAAAATTGGGATGTAAAATTTGAGAAATGTGGAGAATTTGTGATGACTGAAGAGTTTATAGTGCTTCTGCTTACTCTGTCCAAGCTTTGTGGTCAACTGACAAAAAAGAAGGTGACAGTTTTTTTTGTCAAATAATAGATTTTATTATATTAGATGTTAGATTAATTATCGATGGAGTTTAAACGCTGTCATGCAAGAACTTTTAACTTTTTTTCATCACTGTAGTAAAGGGGCAGAAGGTGACAGCTTTTCCATTGTTGCAGAATTTGCCTACGTCAGAACGCGGCGTTTAATGGTTTAGGGTTCGCTGGAAATTAGAACATTGGTGGAATTTGGGGACGACGGCGCGGGAACTGGGCTGGGTGGCGGTAACGTAACTTTTGTATTTGAACATAATTTATAAATTGGGCTGACACTTGTCACGGGCCTCAAATTCTTTACCCAAAACCCAAATTCTTTACACACGTGCAAGTGGTCCTCTATCATAGTGGTAGAAATGAGTGTCGTATCTGCACCACGGCATGGGTTCGAACCCCGCTGGCTCTCTAATCTAACAAATTTATCGTATGATAAAAAAATATTAGAAAGACAATAGGAGGGGACAAAATCATAATTAGAACTACTTCAATTTACGAGGAGGAGATTCAAACTTGGTTGCAATGGAGCGAGCAACTAATCTACTAATATATGCTTTCCGAATCCATAATTGATTCATGTTATGCTCTAAGATTGCGCAAATTTCATGAAATATTTATTCAAATTTTTTTACGTCACTTCTTACTTAATTGTCATGGAGATTTTTAAACTTAGATAAACAAATATCAAAATTTTAAACTAATCTAATTTACGAGAAAGTTTATTCGAACTTGAGTGAATGTAATAACACTCATATTCAAATAGGTCTATTAAGGGTATTTATGGCATTTCAAGTAAAATACAGCCACAAATGGAAAGAGTAGGAGGTTAGCATGCATGATAGAGTGAAAGTCTGAAGAATACAGAGCCCCTATTTTGGTGAAATTTTGCTCATATCTCTCCATCCCTCTCAAAATATCTCAGACACTCTCTCTCTCTCTCTGAAAGGCTACAACTTTCTCCATTTCCACACCACAAAACCCTACTCAAGGTATTTACTTTAGCTTTTGGTTACGGAAGATTTCAAATTTGTGATATTTTTCCAACAATTTTTAGTCAAGTGTTAAAGTTGTTTCCTTCTTATTACAGACCTCAAGTTATCAACATAGCATAAGAAAAGAAAAGGTAATGTTGGTTTTTCAAGCTTCGTTTTGGGTTGCAAAACTTGGACGTTCTGAATTTGTTGGGGTTTATTTATTGTTCTTCTTTTGGCATTTCAGCTGTGGCTGACTATCTTTATTTCTTTCTAGTTTATTATGATGTTTTGTTTTTTGATTCGGTAAAAAATGCGGTTGGATTCAATTTCCCTTTTTTCTTTGTTCGGTCTTGTGCAAATCTACTTGGGTTTTGATTGTCAAATTCTTGAACTTCTTACTTAATTTTGGAAACAAAATTATATTTCTTTGTTTGGGGGGTTAAATGAAATTATGTTCAGTGTTGGGTGTGCATAGTAATTCAAAGGGTGTGTCTGAAATCACGCGATTCGACATTTGAAATTCCCGTATTTAGATAGAAAGTACTGGTTTAAGTCTGCATTTTGATTTTGTTCCTACAGAGAGATCGATGTTAACCAAAATTTGTGCTACTCGTATGATGTTGATGAAGTGTTTAGATAGCAAGAAGTGTTGAAAAATGTCCATGAGTTAATTTTGTTGACATATTGTGAGTCAATTAATTTCTTGCGTTGTAGGAGAATCTATGGCTGCAAACCAAGGAAGAGATGCTGTTGTTGAGGTGGAGAAGGAAAAGCTGAGGAACAAAATACGGAAAACGGAAGCTACAATTGCAGATCAGCAAAAGAGAATCGGCTATCTAAAATCAGCCGGCAGAGAACTTCTCATCCTTTTCTTTGCCTTGTATGGACGCTTTCTGTGGATCATCAAGGGCGGCCAAGGTTTGAGATGCTCCGACTATTGGTTCTTCCTCGGCTGTTATATGTTCCTATGCGCAGTTGGCTGGTCTTTAGCAGTAAACGGAGTCTACTATATCCTTAGTATTAAGGAGAGCGACCGGACCTTGAACGAGTGCAAGCAGTTGAAGAAAACGCTTGCTGTTCTTGATGGATCCAACATTCCAAACTTTGATGGAGAGCCGAGTCAAACTGCTTTCGGAGTTTGGAAGATTATCAGCGCTATCTTACTGAACTCTGTCGTGTCTGATATGCTGATCAGTTGCTTCTTGTTGTTTTCGGCTACCTTTACCAATCTTTGCAGGGAGGGAGGTGTAGAGTGAGTGACTAGCCTAGCCATGCTTCGTGCTCTAGTATTCGGATGTAAAAGCTTATGACTAAACTTGCTGTGGTTTACCGTACCTGATTTGTTATCTGCACTTCTCTATGGTAGTTTTTGTAACTCGAGTGCAGTTCAGACACTTTTCGAATCCAATCAAAGTCATGGAGTAGTAGCTTCCTTAAATTCGTGTTTCGGTATTTGTTTAACGTCATAAAAAGTATTGGAAGTCCGCATTATACTTAATACTTGTATCCTCATTTTCGTTTAACTGTTTTTCTGCTAGTGAAATCTCTTCTCCTTGTATATTGTAGCAACTGGCAAATAATCGTAGTTTGGCCTCGTTCGCGCGCGCTTGCACGTTGAATTAGCCTACGTTGTTGCAGCAAAAGTGAAGAGTGGCTGATATTGTTTCGCGTTGAATTTGAATCTTTCTTTCTCTGCCTGGTTTGTGGTCTTCTGAAGAAGAACAAGGTGATGTCTCCTGGTGAGGTGAGGCTTGTTCGCTCTTGTAAATTTGCAATTTTGTATCTACTAAACGATGCGTTTAATGGTTCGTGGCATTCAGAATTAGAATTGAACCTTCTTATATTGTCACCCTCACCACCACGACAAAACTGTGGTCGGATATACAATGATGATGACATTGTTGATGAGAACTGGGAAATGCAGCTTGATGCTCTCAAACAGCGTCGCCGGAAGCGGAAAGCTCTCTATTTCAATTATATTTTGTAAATTATATGATGTGGTTGTTGATGATTAGATTATACTTAAATATTAATTAATGTGATTATTTTTTAGTTGGTGACTCGTCATATGGTTTGCAAATATGATTACGTACTTATTTCTTATTGTCTTAACTTTGACATTTTAGCATTTTACCTGACTTTTATGTTTAGTTATGTTTAGAACTTTGCATTGGAATTTCGAAATTTTTAGAGCTATATATATCCAATTCCAAATTTCGAATGTTTTGAATTTCATGTTTGAATGTCTCTCTGCTAGTTGTGGTTTTATTTTTCTGAAGAAAGACTCTTGTTGTAAAAGTTGTGGGAAATTGGGATTAAATGCCCACATGTTTTAGCCAAAAATGAAAATTGTGGAAGACCTAAGAATAGTAACATTGTTTTTATATGATGTTTTTCAAAATAAATTCATTTCATTTTTATAATTCTTTCCGGATATGATTTTATATAACGAGTAGTCTGTGTATGATCACAATACACATAAAAGAAAATAGTGAAAGCAATAATACTAATATCTCTTCCTCCCTCTGTTTACCTGTAATTTTTTTTTTGTTATAATTTCGAAAATAAATAATATGATACATTGCACTCGCTTCACTCTTATCTCTAGCAAATGTTATCTCTCTTTATAACAACTCTGGACTGATATCATCTGGTGGACGTGAGGTTTGTTCTCACCAAAACTCTGCGTTTTTCGCAGCTCATGCCTCATGGCATTCAGAATTGAACCCACGGTAGATATTGGGCTTCTCTTGACTGAAATATTGCGTCTACAAATCAACCCTTTTCTGTTGTCACCCTTTCCATTCTACACATCTCTCTCTTCTTTATTTATTTATTTATTTTATTTTTATTTAACTCATCTCTTCTTCTTATCTAAATTAATTAATATTTTTTTCAAAAAAAAAAAATATTATTGACAGTACAAAACTCTAAATTATGCACTCCTCTAAAAGCATATTTGTTTTAGGAAAATTTTATTTAATCTCATGTAACATCTTTCTACACCCAACTTAAATTTTAAAGAGTGGTGATAAATCCACCCCACTGTCTTATTTCCCCACCCACCTTTTAATAAAAAATTTAATACCAAATTTATTCTCCTGTAAAATGACATCTAAGACCAAAGAAAAGAAAAACCACTGCTCTCTAGGTTGACAGTTCTTCCCTATCTTCTAGAACAACCCACCTCTCTAAATCTTCAAAAAATAAAGTCCCCAATACCTTTGGCCATTTTAATTTGATCTATTTGTTTTTGTTGTTAGTACCAGCAAACAGCCTTGAAAACTAGGATAAAGGCTTGTCTATCCACAATCCATGTACCGATTATTGTGGGAGGCGCAGATGAAGTGGAACACGGTGTTCTTGGGGCGGGTGGCATGTTGAAGGATAGAGAAGATGCCGGGAATTGTGTAAAATGTATTGTATAAATGTGATCCTCATTGTGCATCTTGATCAATTGAATCGTATATTTGTAGATTTTGTTTTACTCAATAAAAATAAAAATAAAAAGAATTTCAATATACAGGTTATTCTAGGAATAATAGTTGGTGGGAATATAACATTTCAAGTTTTTAACATTTTGTGGTGGGTGGGATTATAATGTGGGTGGAGAAATAAGACATTGAGGTAGATCTAGTAGCACTCATTTTAAATATTAATTGTCTTTTTTAGCCTATTGCATAATTACCATTAAGTACAATATGAAATTAATAATAAAACTTTAATTTATCAATAAACTCACACCCTATAATTAAACACTACCATTGATCTCCTTATTTATCCTACGTTTATTCCGGCTAAAACCCTATAAGCACTTGTAGAGAAAAAACAAGTTTTTTTTTATCGATAGATGGTGATAAAGTTTTGATCAATCCTCCAACTAAGTTATGACTCGACTTATGGAAATTTTTTGTTTGTTTGGTTTCAATTGTTTTTTAGAGTTAGAAGATGAGTATTTGATTTTCAATTTTTTTTTTTTTTTGTCAATCCCAAACTGCTCATAGTTTAAACTTTTTACACTGCTAAAGTGAAAGTATTGCAAAATTGTTGCACGCACCAAAATTCTGGGATATATATGAAACCCTTTCTATGAATATAAGTTCTTTAATCTTTGTTTAAAGGAGATCTCCATATTAATTAGATTGCAAACAAAACAATTTGGTTTACGGCCCAAAATAACAGCTATTGTACTTGAATGTGCTCACAAAAACTTTAACCCCCATAAGATTCAAGTATATTCAAAACTCAAGGTTTTGATTACAAAAATACGAGTATAAATTACAAAAACTGTAATCTGTGAAGATGAATGTTAGTTTTAAACAGCCTTACTAGTCACTATTATATATACAAAGAGTATCGTTGTTTTAAACTCAAGTCTTTGTTAGATATATTGACACTTGCCACGAAAAACAATTGAAGAATTTGGAAATGAATTGGAATTAGGACCAGTTAGTTGAAGCAATCACGGTGGGAGGAGGACAAAGGACCCATAATGTTTTTTGAATTTCAAGTATCTTTTAAAACAAAACTATTCAATTTGAGAATTTATTTTTTAAATGAGTGTAAACATAACTTTACATTTTGAATTGGATTTGGGAGGGTAGTTTAGGTAATAAATTTGGATTTAAAGAGATATTAGTTCTTTAATTAAAAATAATATGGGTGTAGAGAATAAATTGGATGTAGAAAGAGGTTAAATGAATTCAAATAAAAATTCCCTTTGTTTTAGAATATAGAGAATTTAAAGTATGCAGTTAAATTGTTGGAATACTTATAATAATTATTAAAAATATTTTGTTCAGACAAACAATTTGTAAAGAGTTGTTAGCACTCGAGCGTATTTTTCTTCTCTTACGTTCTCATATTTAGAACATTAAATAATTTTTCATGTTAATAAACATGCCATAAATATTTATATAAAAAAAAAGAATTGTTATTAACAATCCAAAAATCTCATTTGGCACTCCAAATTTTTCATAATTAGAAAGAAAAATACATTTCTGGGAAGTGTATAATGAAAATTTTTAAGTGCTAATATTAATTCCCAAAAAAAAAAAAGGAAAACTAATGAAAAATATTTAAAAACTTTGAGTTTTAATGATAAGGACAAAATAAAGGGTAAAGTGAATAGTACCATGGATTTTTCGTTAAAACTCCAAAAAAAAAAAAAAACCATGGCTTTTTGACCATCTCCAATGGTTGGCTAAAAGCCAAATTTTTTAGCTCAGAAATAGTTTTTCTGCTCCAACCGTTATAGCCTAAAATTTTAGCCCGGGATTATTAAAGAATGAACTTAGACTATTTTTTTTGTTAAATTAATTTTTTTAAAAATTAAATATGTAGACTATCGTAAATTAATTTTATGCACATTTTAATCTAAAAAAATTTAAATTCCGATAAATATTGGATAAAGTCCACTTTGATTTCTGGGCTAAATTTTGGGGGCAATTTGGCCTTAGTTTAGCATTTAACCCAAAATTTTCCCTTGAGTTGGAGTGGGTTTGGGAAGAAATTTTGAGGGTAATTTGGCTTTTTGGCTCACCGAAGTTGATCTTAGTGATCTGGTAAAGTTTTCTCCAATTTATGTCATAGAATAATAATAATAAAGAATGAAATATCCTCCGGAAAGAAAAGCCCACAAGTAAAGTTTCTCGCACAAACGCCGGTAGGGTAGGGCTCCAAATAATCGGGTCGGGCACTTTCCGGAACTTTCCGACTCGACCTTTCTTTCTCACTGTTCCTCTCTGTCCCCTATAAAAACCGAATAATCACGGCGCTGCTTGTTCTATCATTTTCCTCTCTCCTCTCTCGCTCTTCAAACTCCAAATTATAAATAACACAAACCTGAAAAACTCCAATTTCAAAAAACATAATAACGTACATAAATCATACACGCAAAATATAATAAATTCAATTTCCAATTGGTAATCCCTTCCCTCTCTAGGAGTTCTCTCTGTCATTTGATATGGAGGCGGCCATGGACGAGCAGCAGAACTTAGGGCAAGTCCAAGGGGAGGAAGGCGAAGCCGGGCCTCCAGCTCCCCCTCCACCGCCGGCAGCGCCAGAATCGCAATCTCAGGGAGGCGAGGAGGAAGAAGATGAGGAGGAAGAGGAGGAGGTTAAGAATGAATACGACGAATTGGCTGCCAAGGCTCAGAAGCTTATGGACAAGATCACTGCCGCGCCTGATAACCCTAATCCTACCGTTCTTCACGCCCTCGCCTCGCTTCTTGAAACCCAAGAATCTCGGTTAGAACCGTTTGGATTGTGCTAATCGATGCCTAATGCTTTGCTCTGTGCCATCATTTGCATTTTCTTGTTCTTATTCTTTCCTGTAAACATTGGGCTTTTGCTTTCGAGTTAATGACGATAAAATCGCAATTTAAGACGTTTAGATTAGCTTGTAGGCTGTGGGTTTTATAGGCATTGAGTGTGATTATATATGTGCTTATTGTTTTGTTGAAATTGGTGAACAATGTGAATTTTCAGAATGTTATTCCTCCGACTGTTAATTACTTAGTGGAGGTTTCATTTCTTAGTAAGCAATACTTCTACAGCTTTACATAGTAATGCATGGCCTGCGGGTGATAGGATATAAGCGTTGTTTGAAGACTTTTCTTGACGGTTGTACTTTGAATTGCTGTAGTCGAAGTCAGGGTTTAAGCACGGCATGGGATAGCATTGTAATTGTACCTAGAGTTTAGGGGTTTTTTAAAGTACAAAATGGTGGGTGAGTTGAGGAAACTGTCTTTGGGATGCGAAGGTGATGAGTCAAACTTTTCCTGGTGATTTGGAATTTTATTCTCAGCAAAGGAAAGACATTTGAATTAAGGTCACTGGACTGTGAACTGTACACTTGGGATGTTACACTGGGGTGTGATTGAGTGGTTCGATGTGGACTTTTTAAGAACGGTGGTAACCATTAATAGTTATGTAAATCTTTGGGTTGATTTGATGTTAGTAGGTTATGCATATGTACTCATGCAGAAGGGAATCAAGTTTGAGACCTGAAAAGTGAAAAGAATATTGATTTTTCATTGAAAAAAAATGGTTGTTCTAGTATTATGTTGGTGGTAATTTTGATTGTTCTCGTTTACTTAGGATGCTCTGGCTGGTTATATACGCCCCGTTTCGTGACTTTTCACTGTTTTGGTCATTGCACAACTCTATATTTCCAATATGTACAGCATACATGGTGTATTTTTTTTTATTTCTTTTTGAATCTTAATTATTGAGTTAAAAAATTCATTTAACACAGATACATGGAAGAGAATGGTCATTCATCCAGCAATGGTCGGACTTCACATAACATTGGACGGCTAGGGACCTTAGTCCGGGTAACTAGTTTTGGCATGTTATTACTTTTAATATTATCATTTCAGGATGGCTGCTAAATATATTCATATGAGTGGATTGTATCTTGTTTGAAAAAAAAGAAGCTTTTTGTCCTAATTTTTCTCTCTTTTCCAGGATCATGATGATTTCTTTGAATTAATATCTTCAAAGTACCTGTCAGATGCAAGATACTCCGTTGCTGTGCAAGCAGCTGCCGGAAGGCTGCTTTTAACCTGTTCACTAACCTGGAGTGTAAGACCCCTTATTTCTTTGTAATGATTGATTTCCATTTAATCTTAGTTTTTTTCTAAAAAAATAAATAATATGGCTTATTATCAATCTGACAAGCCTAAATGTGATACAGTATCCTCATGTTTTTGAAGACGCTGTTTTGGAGAGAATAAAAGATTGGGTGATGGATGAGACTTCAATCTCATCGGTTGAATACCAGAATTGGAAGCATGATTTGGGGGGAAAGGAGGTCTCAGATTTTGAAATGCTGAAGACCTATTCTACTGGACTTCTTGCTGTATGTTTGGCTGGGTATGTTCTTGCTGTATATTTTTATTTTCACATCCTCATTTTATTCTTGTTCACTAGTTTGGTTGACATATCTTAATTTTGATTGGAACCAGTGGCGGTTCAGTAGTAGAAGATGTGTTGACATCTGGGCTGTCAGCCAAACTTATGCGTTATCTTCGCATGCGTGTTTTGGGGGAGACGAGTATTTCTCAGAAGGATGTTACTCATTTAACAGAGAGCAAAAATACCTTGGGTGCGATTTGCATAAGAGGTAGAGATGAAGGTCGGGGTAGGGCTCGGCAGGTTTTGGAACCAAATCATTTTGATGGTCCACGGATAACAGATGAGAGATGTTTAGATGACCGGATTGTTGAAGGGGATCATGTCAGGAGTATCAGTAGGCAAGCGTTTGGTGAAGAACAATGGGTTGATGGTGGAAAACCACCTGATGGATTGGCTGAAGACGTTGAGATCAATGATGCTGATGGAAAGATGAAATCTGGAGATCTTGATGAAAATGGGAGAGATGACTCCTCAAGGCGCAGACCCAACCGTGGATGGACAAGATCTAGAGGGAAGGGAAGGACCAATGAAGGACCTCTAGAGGATCAACAGCTCTTGACCTCTCCAGGATCTGGTAGTAGGTTGGGACATGGGAGGAGCCCTAGAGATAGGAGTTCGCTAAAAAATTCTGATGTGAAAAAAATACCAGACTCTAGGAAGTTAGCGGATGTTGTCTTTCTGGAAAGGGCGGATAATGATGACTGTTTCCAGGACTGCAGAGTTGGATGTAAAGATATCTCTGATCTAGTTATGAAAGCAGTGAGATCTGCAGAAGCTGAAGCTAGAGCAGCCAATGCACCTGTAGAAGCAATTAAAGCTGCTGGTGATGCTGCTGCTGAAGTTGTCAAAAGTGCCGCTTTAGAGGTACTATAGATGTTACTCTCACTGTCTGTAACCATTTTATCTCTTTTTTCACTTCTTATTTGTTTGCCACTTAATTATGCAGGAATTCAGAACTACAAATAATGAAGAAGCTGCAGTTTTGGCTGCTTCAAGAGCAGCATCTACTGTCATTGATGCTGCTAATTCAGTTGAAGTTTCAAGGTAGGTACTTCTGTGAGAGCAGCATCTACTGTATGTTCTACAATATCCTTCTTTTCGTCTGGGTAATAATATTTTCTATGATTGGCAGGAGCTCTAGTGGCATCAATGCCGAATCAATGACTTCAAGCTGCACAGAACCAGAAAACCATGTAGATGCCGAAGAATATTTCATCCTGGATGCTGAGTCCCTTGCACAGCTGAGAGAAAAATACTGTATTCAATGTCTTGAGACTCTAGGAGAATATGTCGAAGTTCTTGGACCTGTACTGCATGAAAAGGGGGTGGATGTATGTCTTGCACTGCTGCAACGAAATTCTAGACATAGAGAGCCGTCAAAAATTGCGATGCTTTTGCCTGATGTAATGAAGCTCATCTGTGCCTTGGCTGCTCATCGTAAATTTGCTGACTTGTTTGTGGATAGGGGTGGCATGCAGAAACTGCTTGCTGTTCCTAGGGTTGCTCAAACCTTCTTTGGTCTTTCTTCATGCCTATTTACCATCGGCTCTCTCCAGGTAATGACATAGCTGAAGTTTAGCAGTTAAGAGGTCTAATCTCTCATTTACTTGGGTGACTATATCCATCTACTCTGTTCATTTTTTTTATGACCAATTAAATTTTTTTAGGGAATTATGGAGCGTGTTTGTGCTCTTCCTTCAGATGTGGTTTACCAGGTGGTTGAATTAGCTCTTCAACTTCTTGAGTGCTCACAGGATCAGGCCAGGAAAAATGCAGCCTTATTTTTTGCTGCTGCATTTGTTTTCAGGGCAGTTCTTGATGCTTTTGATGCTCAGGATGGATTACAGAAATTACTGGGCCTTTTAAATGATGCCGCATCTGTAAGATCTGGAGTAAATTCTGGGGCATTAGGGCTCCCTAGTTCAGGAACACTACGGAATGACAGGTCACCTGCAGAAGTACTGACTTCATCAGAGAAACAAATAGCTTACCATGCTTGTGTTGCTTTGCGCCAGTACTTCAGAGCACATCTTATTATGCTTGTGGATTCTATTCGTCCAAATAAGAACACTCGAAGTGGAGCTCGGAATCTTCCAAGTGTAAGGGCTGCTTACAAGCCACTTGACATCAGTAATGAAGCTATGGATGCAATATTTCTGCAGCTACAGAAGGACCGAAAGCTGGGTCCTGCATTTGTGAGAACTCGTTGGTCTGCAGTCGATAAGTTTTTGGGTTCTAATGGACATATTACTATGTTGGAGTTATGCCAGGTATAATATATTATGTTTAGGATCTCAATCTCTCTCGCTTGATTCAGGTCAAGGTTTTATTGAATTCCCCACCCTTGCAACATGAACTTCCAATATGCCCTCTTGCCTTTTCGCTTTATCCCATCTCTGATTATACCTGATTTTGCTTTCTGCAGGCTCCACCCATTGAGCGTTATTTACATGATTTACTTCAATATGCATTGGGTGTTCTACATATTGTTACATTGGTCCCTAGCAGCCGCAAGTTGATCGTGAATTCTACATTAAGCAATAATCGTGTTGGTATAGCTGTCATTTTGGATGCAGCAAGTGTTGGTGGTAGCTATGCGGACCCTGAGGTAAAGAGCTGCTTATGACTTCATTTCTTATCTTGATGGCCATCTTCCTTTTCTTATATCAATACATTTAATCTTATTATTGATTTGTATCTTTCCAGATCATTCAACCGGCACTTAATGTGTTGGTCAATCTCGTCTGTCCTCCACCATCAATCAGTTATAAAGCACCTTTACTTGCACAAGGACAGCAGTCAGTTTCTGCCCAACCCTCTAGTGGTCCTTGTGGGGAATCAGCTGTAGCTGACCGAGGCAGTGCGGCAGCCCCTGGTACACAGTCCAATAGTAGCAGCGCTCAAGCTCCTGCTGCCACTGCAACTTCAGGATTGGTGGGGGATCGCCGAATATCTTTAGGAGTTGGGGCAGGTTGTGCAGGCATGGCTGCACAATTAGAGCAAGGCTATCGCCAAGCAAGGGAGTCTGTTCGCGCCAACAATGGTATAAAGGTTCTTCTGCATCTCCTCCAACCACGCATATATTTTCCTCCTGCAGCACTGGACTGTCTCCGTGCACTTGCTTGCCGAGTCCTTCTTGGTTTAGCCAGAGATGATACTATTGCACATATATTGACAAAGCTCCAGGTTAATGACTTTCCAATTTTTCTGTCACTTCACCAGTTCAAATTGAAGGATTTTTTTTTAACTATATCCTCATTCTTTCCATGATTGGGCTTGTACCTCAGATATAACTGTCTCTGACTAGTTACAACTTTAGAGTTCACTCCAAACATATTTATGCCTTTTATCGTTAAGTCTTTGCTGTGACATGACACAAAACTGAGCGCAATGGCGTTTTAGGATTCGTATAGCCGACCCCACTTAGTGGGAAAAGGATTTGTTGTTGTTGTTGTTATCGTTAATTCTTTGCTGTATCCATCAAGTTATTGTCTTCAAATTCTCAATCATGGTTTTGTGGTGTTTTCATTCTAACTTAGGACTTAGGACCTTATGTCATATAAATGAATTTTTCTTGCTAATAAGTGCAATTTGATGTTCTAGGTTGGAAAGAAACTATCAGAACTAATTCGAGATTCAGGGAGCCAGACAAATGGAACTGAACAAGGCAGGTGGCAAGCTGAACTTTCACAGGCAGCGATTGAGCTCATTGCAGTAAGCATTTCTATTCTTGTACTAGTGTCCAATTAAAGTTGCCTGTAAATGTTTGTTTAATGCATATCTATCAAAATCAGTTTTAGAACATATAGGGTTGTGAACATGTTAATGGCTTTACAGTGTATCCATAGAATATATTGTTATTCCATACTCTTTTGCCCCCTCCACTTCGCGCCACCGACTTTTAGTTCATAGTAAAAAATCATGTCATATTGTTTTTGTTGTAGATTGTGACAAATTCAGGACGAGCTAGCGCATTGGCTGCCACTGATGCTGCGATGCCAACATTGAGGCGTTTAGAAAGGGCAGCTATAGCTGCTGCCACTCCTATCACTTACCATTCCAGGTATGGAGCAATTTCTTTTATTATTCCATTATTCGTTGGAGTTTCGTTGCTTTTGAATTTTCTGCTTATTAATTTTCCCCTCTATGCATGCACTGTGGTTGAAATCTCAGGGAACTACTGCTGTTAATACATGAACACCTTCAAGCATCTGGGTTGGCCGCAACAGCTGCCTCTCTGCTAAAAGAGGCTCAGTTGATGCCTTTGCCATCTTTGGCTGCCCCCTCATCTCTTGTTCAGCAAGCCACTCAAGAAGCTCCTTCAGGGCAACTTCAGTGGCCCTCTGGTCGAACCCCTAGTGGGTTTCTTACAAACAAATCAAAGTTTACTGCAAAGGATGAGGAAATAAGTTTCAAATTTGATTCTGCATTCTCGTATTTGAAGAAAAAACCTCTAGTGTTCTCTCCTAATTTAGGTCTACTGTCAAAGAATCAGTCTCAGTCTCAGTCTCATGACTCTCACCCCGCATCATCCAGGAAAGTTGTTAGTGCAGCAAAACAGTTATCTGCTTCTGCAAATGCATCAGAAACTCCATCAGTATCCCTGCCAAAACCTACTACTGATACAGAGTCCCATTGTAAGACACCCATTGTCTTGCCAATGAAACGAAAATCATCTGAGCTGAAGGATCCTGGGTGTTTGTTATCTTCTGGGAAACGCCTTCACACTGGTGACCATGGACTTCGCTCTCCCGTTTGTCTTACACCCACCACGGCGCGCAAGAGTGGCCTACTAACTGATACTGTTGGATTCTCTACCCCAACTGCCAACTTGAGAGATCAGTATGGTCGATCAACACCAGCTATTTTGCCATCAGAGTTTCCAGATGATAACCAGTATGGTAGTGGCCTTGCAACTCCCGCCTTCCAATTCGGGCTTCAGAGTGACCCTCAACCAAGCAACTCAGAGCGATTAACTCTAGACTCTGTGGTTGTTCAGTATTTGAAGCACCAGCATCGCCAGTGTCCTGCACCTATAACCACTCTTCCACCACTCTCTCTTTTACACCCACATGTTTGTCCTGAGCCAAAACGAAGCCTCGATGCCCCATCGAATGTTACAGCCCGGCTTGGTACACGTGAGTTCAGAAACATATATGGTGGGGTTCACGGTAGTCGCAAGGATCGTCAGTTTGTTTACAGCAGATTCCGACCATGGCGAACTTGTCGGGATGATTCAGGTATCCCTTTGACATGCATCTCTTTTCTTAGTGATTCCTCTCATATCGCAGTAGGCAGCCATGGTGGAGAGCTCAAAATTTTTGACTCCAATAGCAGCAACGTACTGGAGAGTTGTGCAAGCCACCAGTCTCCTGTAACGCTTGTTCAGTCACGTCTTTCTGGTGAGACCGAACTTGTGCTTTCGTCAAGCTCCCAGGATGTGAGGTTGTGGGAGGCATCTTCAGTCTCTGCAGGGCCTATGCATTCCTTTGAAGGGTGCAAGGCTGCAAGATTTAGCAATTTCGGGGATATTTTTGCTGCTCTACCAACTGAGCCGGCTAGGAAAGAGATTCTCCTGTATGACATCCAAACTGGCCAGTTGGAATCAAAACTGTCTGATACATCTTCTAGCTCTACAGGTCGTGGACATGTTTATTCTCAAATACATTTCAACCCTTCAGACACAATGCTGCTTTGGAATGGGGTCCTGTGGGACAGGCGGGTTTCTACCCCTGTTCATCGTTTTGATCAGTTTACGGATTATGGGGGTGGTGGCTTCCATCCTGCTGGCAATGAGGTATGGGCAACTGCATTTCCATTTCACTTGATCCGATTGTTCTTATTTCCAACATAACAGTCTGCTTTTTTTTTCTTTTTTTCGCAAGCTTGTATTCTTCCCCTTTCTTGATCAATTCTGTTCTGATTAGTGTAATTTTCCAACAGGTGATTATAAACTCCGAAGTCTGGGATCTCCGGAAATTTAGACTCCTCAGGAGTGTACCTTCATTAGACCAAACAACGATAACTTTCAATGCTCGTGGTGATGTAATTTATGCAATCCTCAGAAGAAATCTTGACGATATAATGTCAGCGGTTCACACCCGACGTGTAAAGCATCCACTCTTTGCTGCTTTCCGCACAGTGGATGCAATTAACTACTTTGACATTGCCACTATTCCAGTTGATCGTTGCGTCCTCGACTTCGCAACAGAACCAACTGATTCTTTTGTTGGGTTGATCACAATGGATGACCAGGATGAGATGTTTGCTTCTGCTAGAGTATATGAAATTGGTCGCAGAAGGCCGACCGACGATGATTCTGATCCCGACGACGCTGAGAGTGACGAAGAAGATGAGGATTCTGAAGACGACGATGATGTGGATGTGGACCCCATGCTGGGCCCGGATCTTGATGGGGATGATAGTGATATGGATGATATGAGCAATGACGATGATGATGATGGCGTGAGTGACGATGATGATGACGACGACGGAGATTTCATCATGGATGACTTTGAGGCAGGAGGTGGAATGCTGGAGATTGTAACGGACGGAGAGGAGGACGACGACGATAGTCAGGGGTTCGAATCGTACAGCAGTGGGGATGAAGATTTTGTGAGCAATGGTTTTGATGTTTGAAGTAGTATTTTTTGTCCAGATGGTGTAATTAATATCTTTGGGTTTCCATCCAATGATTCATTCTCCAATGAGAAAAATGGCCAGTCTCCATGGTCAATAGTGTTTTGAGTCGGTGAAACCTAGTCTTAAAAGGGCAACACAGCGGACCATGGTGGTATCTTGTGCTAATAATGTAACATTTTGAAAAACTTCTACACGTATCACTCGCAAAGAGATCTTCACACAGTGATGTTCTACGCTAATAATGCAACATTCTAAAGAACTTTAACATGTTTCACTCGCAAAGAGATCTCTGTGCAAATAAGTAATTATGTAACATTTTATAAAACTAATACTAATAAGTAATAACGTAACATTTCAAAAAACTTGTACATTTATCATTCGCAAAGAGATCTTCACGAAGATGTCGGCCACCGTTTCTCTCGAGCAGATTTTTGCCTTGAATTCTAAACTCGGTGTTTTGAAAGGCCTACGATCCGTGAAGTCCAGCGGAGTTAGTTTCTACTATTTTGTTCGCTTGGAATAGATTCTGAGTTCAAATCTTGTAAGCGAAGTTTCTTTCGTTGTAGCAGAGACTATAACATTCCGAAGATGGCTATACTTTCCACATGGAAATTAGAATATAGATAGAAGGTATGTAAAACATAATCCATTCATTCAACTCTGAATCATACGAACGCCAAAGAAAAACGACTCGCGCGAATAACAAAAATACAGTTGGTCTATATGGCATGCATGCATATGCCATCAGTTGTAAGAATAGATGATTCTGTAAAACTGATCAACGACATATTCTACGGAAATATTAGTAAAGAGTTGCGCCTCTAAGGGGCGAGCCTAAGTGGATCACGAGGAAACAGAGAAGTTTTGCGGATGTTGTTCAAACCACAAAAAAGCATGACGACACGCTCCAGCCCTACTCCAAATCCACCGTGGGGAGGTGCACCGTATCTGCAAGAATCATCATAACCATAGTCAGGTAGAACCGAGAAGGCAATTTGTAAAGAGACTCTAGGGTCCAACTTCAATGCTACGGGAGTTTTGGCTGTAAGATTCAATTTCTACAACCGTTAGATTGTCTATATTCAATCTCAACCATTCGCTCTGTTTTAGCTGTGTTATATTCTTCATTTTCAATCTCAACTTTTCAAATAAATAATAACAATAACACAGGGAGAAAAAGGTAAGGATACCTGAAAGCGTCAATATATGTTTGTATTGTCTTTACATCAATTCCACACGCCTGTGCACGCTCAGTCAAAAAATCAGGAACATGGACACGCTGTGCTCCAGAAATTATCTCCTCGCCTAAGGGATAAAGAATATATATTTAGATTCACATAAAGTTAATGATTGGAGTATTTTCACTCCAAGGGATAGCGGAATGTACAATGTTGTCCCCTAGAATAAAGAGAATAACTAGCACATATGAAAACGCTGTCTAACATATATCAACGAATAAATGAGAGCTATGGCATACTTTTAAATTTCCTTTTCGCTATGTCGATCCAATTTGCATATATACATTTCCAATTAACTAAAGTTATACAGCTGCGTTAAACATAGTCTTGGTCATTTGAACATACAAAAGTCTTCTTGATCCTATTAATCCTTTTTTTTTTTTTTTTTTTTTTTTAAGATGAGATCCTATTAATCCTGTTACTTATTAATTATTAACATCTAAAGTCCTGAAATTTAAAACAAAACTAAAAACTAGCAAAATGATTTAGGCCATAAATACAACAACAATATTGATAGAAACAATGATGGTGTACCTCGAATAAAAACGTCAAACGAATTACTGTAAGCAGGATTGTCGTGGCAAGGCATTGTGTAGAATGGCCTAACAGCCAAAGGATAGCGGTGCAGTATGTAGAACTCGGTGCCATACCTGTAATCAAGTAAAAAATCAGTTCAAACATTTATGATGACAACAGAACTCTAACAAACTAAAAATTATCCTTATTATAAGCTGACATTGAACGAGCAAGATAAATTACTTCTCCAGAACTAGTAGGCCCAATTTTCTCTCATTCTCGGTGTTTAAGTCCCCATAAGGATCCACTTCAACCCCAGATTCCTGTGGAAAACATGAAACTTACAATAAAAGAAGAAATTTATTTAATTGAAAGCATGTCATGCATGCTTCAGCTTCAAGATTTTCACTAATGCTGGCTCTGACCATGTGTTGCATGAGAAACTCTACCAAAGTCCATAATCATCCATTACTATTTGTTACTCAACGCAGTGGCTAAACAAGAACAAGTGGAAATACCTTAAGCATTTGAACACCTTCTTCAAATGTTAAACATAGAGTCTCTGGCAAATACTGCAAAATTAAGAAATGACAATCATCAGAATCCAAAAACTGTGTCTGTGGCAACATTTTTTATATAATTCAGAATATATAGATATTAGAAGCAATGTTTAGGTGATGTGTCATTGACCATTAAACACCCAACATATTACAATCTAAAAATTAAGACAACAAAAAATAAATAAGTGAGACCTTTAGCGGTTGGAATGGATACTGCCTCGCTACAGCTTCAAGCTCTTTCGCACAGTTCTTGTTCAAGGAGTCGAACATTGCAACAAACAAGCGACCAACAACATCCATGACCTGAACAAACAAGCATATAATTGCACCATAAGTTAACATCCATCGTCATATGGGGCGATAAAGGCAAGCAAATGAAAATTACTAAATCTACCTCAAAGTAGTGCCTCTTGATCTCCATCTCAACATCAAGGCCAGTGAACTCACACAAATGCCTATGGGTAAAGGAGTCCTCAGCTCTAAAAACAGGACCAATCTCAAAAATACGGCCGAAGTCACCACATATAGCCATCTGCTTGTGAAGCTGAGGTGACTGGGCAAGGCAGGCATCTTGACCCTTGTAGTTGAGTCTAAAAACAGCAGCTCCACCTTCACTTGAACCAGCAATCAGCTTTGGCGAGTGGATTTCAAAAAAGCCTTCGGATATCAAGAACTGCCTAAAGATCTACACAACAATGCAACCGACATACAGAACTAAACTCTTAACGATTTTCTCTAGCTTTAAAAAGATAAATAGCTGCAAATGGTGGAAAGACTACATACATTGCCAACTTGACTCTGAATGCGGAATATCCCCTGATTCGCAGGTGTTCGCAAATCAAGAACTCGGTTATTCAAGCGGGTATCCTGATTAACTCGAACGAGTGTTTCTCCGGCCTATAAACCCATCATACCACCCAATGAATATACACATACTAAGAGAGAAAGTCCCAAAAAGCTTAACAAAACTTCAATAATCCAATTCAAAATAAAACATCTAAATGTACCTGCAAAGCCTTTTCGATTTCGGCATCACTCCGAGCAGCATCCTCAATGTTAATAGGTAAAACAGCAGCCTTACTCACACAATACAACTTCCTCACTTGAACCTCCACCTATTTAAAACCAAAATCTCAATTATAATCACTTCTTAATTACTCAGTTCGTTCAAATTTTAAGTAAGCACAAAACAATCAAAGTTAAAATAGAAATCACGAGAATTACAAAACCTGCTGCGTGGTGCCTTTAATCTCGACACTAGGAACAGACACGATGCCTTCAATATCGATAATCGACTCTCTGCTCAACCCAGCGATGTACTTCACCATCTGGCGGCTCACGGTGTCAGGCTGCACCGTCGCCACGCACTGCACCGTAAACCCCCTTTCTCTGACGACAACAAACGCCATATTCTTCCCGACGGCACGAATCGTCTGCGCCCGGCCACGTATCAGCACGGACCGGTTATCCAACGCATTGGTTAGGCTTCCGACCTCGGTCCAGTGACTGACGTCCTCAGCCGTCTTCGATTGGAGCTCGATCAGGGGGACGTCGCCGTAGTTCGCAGCGAGAGGGTCCTGCTCGTCGACGGAGAGGGAACGAGCCGCGGCCGCTAGGGCTTCCTGCTCCTGGCGGCGGCGCAACTTCTCTTGCTTGGCGGCTTCTTTTTTAGCGGCTTTTTTGCTGACGGAGGCAGAGTCTTCGTTGGATGGCTCGGAGCCGGCGGGGGGTTGAGATTCCGGTGTCGACATTGGAATCGGAATCGGATTCGGAGCGTGGAAATTCAAAGAAGGAAAAGTTTGGAAGAAATCCAGAGGGCTTTGAGTGTGGAGTGGCTCTGAACCTGTCCGCCTGGTTACGGGTTTTTATATTGGGAAGGGTCGTCTACTTTGGACCGTTGGATGATAGCTGGACGGTTGATGTTTGGGGAGGCACAAAAGGTATAAATAGAAAACGTAGTAGTGGTGTTCTCTTTTTAGATCGAAGTTTGTTTATTCTCTTGCCATTAAGTCAAATTGGAGCAATTCGTCAACTTCGTCAGAATTTTGTCAAAATGAGATATATTGAAAAGATCATTACTATAATTGAGATCCCTTACCTCATCAAAACGTGTAACTATAGTTATTTTCGTCAACTTCGTCATAGTTTTGTCAAAGTAAGTTATGTTGAAAGGATCATTGCTACAATTAGTTTAAAGTTGAGGGACCGTTACTCTAATTAAGTTAAAGTTGATGGATCATTTCTCCAGTTGAATTAAAGTTGAGGGATCAATGGTAATAGATTTTTAGCCGAGGGACCATAGTTGCACGTTTTGATGAGTTAAGAGATCAATAATAACGAATTTTTAGTTGATGGATCATTACTCCAATTAAGTTAAAATTAATTGATCATTGCTACAATTTATTCAAAAAAAAAAAAAAAAACTAATCAGAATATCTCAAACTGATCTCCTCTGCCTCATTTTTTTGCCCTATTATTTTAATAATATTGACACAACAATTGTGCCAAAAAATATAAAATATCAGGAATTCACGTAGAGTCTTACTCTTGTAAATCCATGTCACCGACTCAACTTTTGAAAACGCTTACCTTATAAGAAAAAAAAAATTTCTAATTCTAATTAATTGCACGTTTAACTACGTGTCACTAAGCCAACCATAAGAACTCTTAATTACTTCTTAAAAAAGTTATAATTATAATTATTTTGATTGCACTCTCATCTAATAAATGACAACTACATGCCAGAGTTGTTGATTCTGTTTTCTATTGGATAAGCATATGCACTGTTTCAATGGTTTATGTGCTTTAATGGACACTGGGGAATCCAGCAGCCCCACAAATAACAGCAAAATGGATGATCAAGGTAATTTTTATTGTCACTTAATGGACGAACGTGTTAATATGATAGCACTCGTAACTCATTACATGTTTTAATTGATTTAGGAAGTTTAGAGTCTTCAGATATTCATCAAAAAAGATTTTGGGTTGAAATGGAAAAATATGACGATGACGTATAAGATTGTTTTGATTTTGTTTTATCGAGTATATCCATAGTTTAAGGGGAGGAAGAATTCGACAAAGCCACACAATATGCAAACCTAATTTAGTATTGAATTTGTTATTCACGAGATTCGAAACTAAGACCTCTCACTTCCAAGTAAAGAAGAATACCACAAGACTATAGTACTGAGTGGTATAAGACCGTTCTGTTGACAATGGAGTATAATCATACAACTAATAGTATTTCCAAATGAAATCTTAAAAAATCTACATCATCAATAACAGTAAAAAAAAACAGCACTAATGTTTTTCAAAATGTCAATTTATACATGGGGCATGACATGAGAGCATTCCCACCGTAGCATATTGCTCGGGGGACTGTCTCCAGAACAAAGGCCCGAGGGCCGGTGGATGGCGTCCAGCGTGAGGCAGGGCGGGGGACGGGGGAGGCCCGAGGGCCAGGCCCGTGAGGGATTGCCAGCCCTTGAGCTCGAGGTGGGAGTGACGCAAGGCTGACGCCAGGGTGGCGTCAGCGTATTATTTTTTTTTTTTGTGTCAGGCGCGTGCACCCCACCCGCGCGTGGGGGAGCGTCCCGACACAATAATCAGGAAAAAAAAATGTTTTGTCAGTTATCGTTGGGAAGCCACGTGGCTTCCCACGGTACGTTAGATCCTAACGGTCACTTAATGTGGACCGTTAGATCTCAACGGTAAAAAAAAAATAAAACTGTCAGATTTAATATCCACCGTTCGATCTGAGATCAACGGTGGATATTAAAATGCTTTAAAAATTAAAAAATAAATGAAATAATAGTTTAAAAAATCTGAAAAGTTACCATTGTGACACGTGGCACAATCTGGAGCGTTGGAATTCAATTTTTTTTATATCCAACGGCAGAGATTAATTAATTGAATAAAAATTTAAAAAAAAATGTAAAAAAATTCAAAAAAATATCTGAAAAATCTGAAAAAAATTGTAAAAAAAATTGTTTTTACTTTTTTTTTATAAATACCTTCTCATTATCATCTACCTTCACAACAATTTCATATTTTCTCAACTACTTTCAATCACATTCCTTTCTTTGTCTCAAAGTTTGAATCCATTTTTTTTCAACAAAATGACCACTGGTGCAGGTACGAATTGGTCGCTTATTGAAGATGTTACGTTGTGTACTAGCTGGGTTGAAGTTACTCATAGTTCGCTTACGGGTAATGAGATGCAGTTGCGAGAAATGTGGAGTCTTATTCATACCAATTTTCTTGAGAAAATTGGTGGGAAAAGAACCAAAGAATCGATGTCCAGTCGTTGGAAATTACTTAGACAATCATTTAGTACGTGGAGAGACGCTTTGGCACAAGCTAGTAATAATATTCAAAGTGGGGAAAATTACTCGGATATGGTAACAAGATATTATTATTTATTGTTTGTATTCTTTATTTGTTACGTACAAAATTTATTATTTATTTGTTACATTATAATTATGTTGTTTGTTACATTATAATTATGTTGTTTGTATTATTAATTTGTTTGTTACATTATAATTATGTTATTGTTACTTATTTGTTACATTTATTTGTTACATTATAATTATGTTGTTTGTATTATTTATTTGTTACTTATTTTCATTAAAATTAATGTATAATATCACTTACATTAAGAAAAAAAAATGTGTATATTTAAGGTTAAAATTATTTACTAAACTTGGAACTCTAGCCCCATGTTATGATTAACATGACATATATATATATATATATATATATATATATTTGCTTGTTATGATTAACATGACATATATATATATATATTTGTTAATTATTTTCATTATTTACTAAACTTGAAGCCTTCTTACTTATTTTCATTATCTTTGTTACTTATATATATATATATGTATATATTTGCTAGTTACTTATTTTCATTATAATTATTTATTTGTATTATTTATTTGTTACTTATTTTTATTGTGTAGGAACTTCAAGCACAAGCTTGGTACGCTGCCAAAACCAAAAGCAAAAATAAATCATTCAACCGGTGGGAATGTTGGAATATTGTCAAAGATTGTCCTAAATTTAGAGTTGTGCCAGTTGGTCCAGAAGTGCACATGAACAGCACCCCTCTACACTCTACGCCCGATCATGAGAGAGCAGATGATGGAGAAGAAGTGCCCGAAACGCCCCTCCCTGAACAAGCGTCGGGTTCGACCCGTTTTCCAATTAGGCCTCAAGGTAAGAAGGCTTCAAAGAGAAAAGGGAGTGCTTCCAAGAACGATTATGCAAAGTTCATGGAAGAACTTACTCGCCAAGGTGAATTGACTTTGGCGAGGGAACTGGCGAAAGATGAGGCTGATAAGGCTGATAAGGCATCAAAAGGAGCAGCTGTTGAGAGAGAATTTTATGCTAATGAGAGAGAAATAGAGCTACTTAGGCAAGAAAGGGAACATGTTAGAGAAGAAAGACGAGCTCAACAAGATCGTGAGATTATGAACATGTCTTTAGAAGGGAAGTCTCCAAATTCTAAATTTTTTTGGAAGTCAGAGAAAGCGGACGTGGTGCGAAGGAGGCGTGCAAGAGAAACAATAGCAAGCCAAGGTGGTTCTAGCACCGCAAGAGAAGATCATCCTAGCACCACAAATTGGTTAAGTGATGATGAATAGAGTACTTTTTGTAATCGGAGCCCATAATTTTCCAATCACTTTGGGTTGTAATTTATTATTTATTGTTTGTATTATTTATGTTGTTTCCATGTTCATGAATATTTATTCAAATTAATTTGGTAAGTTATTTATGTTGTTATAAGTCCATGACCATGACCATCGTTCTAATTAAAAGTCCTTTACATAGATTACATATACTAAGAATTACATAAACATAAACATAAAAAAATTACATAAACATACTAAGAATTACATAAACATACTAAGAATTACATATACTAAGAATTACATAAACATAAACATAAAAAAATTACATAAACATACCAAATAATAAAACACACCAAATAAAATAACATAAACATACCAAAAACATTTTTTTTTTGCACAAAATAAGAATCATGGTTGCAAACAGCAATCATGATTTTGTTGAACAAATGTCGTTCCATTCTAAAACGATGTCTAAAGTACGTATCAGGGAATGCACTATTAGGAACAAAATAATCATCCAAGAGTTCCATACCTCATCGTTGCCTGCTTCTATCAAGGTTTCCGGAACGCCTGGGCCTGCAGATCTGAGCCGCAGCTTGGATGACTCGACGAGAATGTGAGGCTCTGCCCCTTCTTACGTCGTCATCTCTCATTTGACGCTCCTCATCTTCTTCCCTCTCATTTCTTACCCCCTGGTGATTGAACATTGATTCTGATTGGTTAAACAAGTCTTCCTCTTCCTGATTCAATTCCCACATCATCCTTGAGGAAGAAGAAGAAGACATTGAAATAAAGAAACAGAAACTATGAATATTGAAACTGATTTTTGTGAATAAGGAAGCAGAAATTATGAATAATGATAGAGATCTTGAGAATTTTGGTGTGAAATTTGTGAAGATGGATGGTGGATTATATAGAGGATTCAGGAAGGATTAGGTTCTGCATAATGCCACGTGGCATGCCGTCATTCGTTAAAAATCGGATGGAAATCTATCATCCAAGATTGTTAACAGATTATGACACGTGGCATGCCGTCATTCGTTTAAAATCTGATGGAAATCTATCCTCAAAGATTGTGAACTGATTATGACACGTGGCGCGACGTGATTGGTTAATAATCTTATCAGAAATCCATATTATAATTATTTATTTTGTATTATTTAATAATACTTAGGATAATGACACGT